ACCTGCCTCGCCAGAGCACACTGGGCCTGGGGCCACTATTCTCAGGTGGCTGACTGCTGCTAGGTAACCAGGCACTCATCCGGGACTCCTGTCCCCCCACCTGCCCTGCAGCCCGGGCAGGAGCCAGGCCGCAGGCCGATGTCAGAGCCAGAATGCCCTCTGCCCTGTTTGGCCACAGCTCCGCAGAGCAGAGACCTGCGGGGGGATGCTAGACAGGGCGGGGCGGGCGTCGCGGAGCCCCCCCTGAGCAAGCATGGCCAAAGTCCTGGCAGCGGAGGGTCAGAGCCAGGTGGCCCCCCAGGCCCACTGGTGGGGACATTGGAAGTCACCACGGGGCGGGCCGGGCCACACCCCGCCAGCAGCACAGGCTGCGTGCTGTGGGAGGAAGGCTCCAGTCCAAGCAGTGTGAACGGGGGTGGGGGGGTGCGTCGGCATCCCAGGTGAGTGTCCCCAGGTCCTCTGCCAAACTCGGTTTCAATAACAGCCACCACTGGCCTCCCTGGGGGACTTGGGGAGCCCAGAGCCGGGCAGGGCCAGCCGGGTTGCCGGCCTGGCGGGAGGCTGGGTGACAGAGTCTCAGGTGCCGCAGGTTCAGGAGTCCTGGGGGAGGACTGGTGTCCAGGAGGTTGTGTGCTCCATGGGGTGGGGGTGAGGGGCTGTCCCCCAGAGGGTCCCGACTCCCCAGGACCTGGCAGGCTCCTGGGCTGCTTCCCAGCGACCTGGCCAGGAGGTTGGCCAACGTGGACGCCTCCTGGGCAGGGGCTGGAGGGTGAGGAGGCGGGAAGGGAGGGAGGCGAGTGCCCCAAAACTGCCCAGGGCACGGGTGGAGTTTGGGGGACGGGCAGAAGGGGCTGGTTACCTACTGCCTTCTTCCTCCGGCTCGGGCCGGGCAGTGTGGCGGAGAACTGGTCGAGTGAGCAGAAGTGATCGGATCCGGAGCTGGCTTTCCTGCTTGCCATGGATAAGCTGGGGGGTGGGGGTGGTGGAATGGGGGGGAGCTTCCTGGTTCTCAGGGAACGGGGGAAAATTGCCCTTCGGGCTGGGTGAGGAAAGAGAAGGACCTCCTCCTCCAGAGGAAGCCGCTTTGCTGTGGGCCAGCCGCTCACTTGGCCACTCAACAAACGCTCAGTACTTCCCCAACCGTTCACAGGGCGTTCATGGCTGGCTGGACTGGGCTCCACCTCACCCCCCGGGTCGGGTTTGGGAGGGAGGGCTTCTCGGAGGAGGTGCTGCCTCGCTGATTTATGGCCAGGTGTGGGATGGGCATTCCAGGCGGAGGGAACAGCCTGGACAAAGGCTAAGAGGTGAGCCCAGCCTTGGGGTGTTCAGGAAGCGGAGAAGGCTTAGTGGGGCTGGGGCAAAGGGTGTGAAGCGGGGTGAGGGGGCAAAAACGAGGCTGCAGGGAGGGGTGGCCCCGGAAGTGTGGAGAGGGCAGGACCCGGCCAGCTGCCCCGGGAAGAGCCACTCCACTGCGACTGCTGTGTCCTGCAGGCAGGGACCCCTGGGGTCTCCCAGAGGAGAGGGAGGGAGCCGGCCCTGAGCTGACCCCAGCCTACACCGCCACCTGGGTGTCTGAGGAGGCAGTGGACCTCGAAACAGGCAGTCTGGCTCAACCCAGCGGGCATTTAGGGAGCGCCTCCTGCGTGCAGGCCGGGCCGGGGGTTCGAGATGCTGGCCCACAAGGCTGGCCGCACTTTTAGCTGGCGTCTCTGTGGGGCTTGTGGGTGCTGGGGGGCAGATGCTACAGGACCCCGGTGATGCGCGAATAGATGACAAGCTGTTGGTGAGCACTCTGGCTCTTCTTTCCTGTGCAGTGGGAGCTCTTGCAGGTCTCTGACTTTGTGTTCTAGAAGGATCTTCTGGCCGATGTGCCCATGCTGGGTGGAAGGGGGGAGCCAGTGCAGGGAGGCTTCTGCTGAGATCCAGATGAGGGGTGACAGGGGCGTGGCTGGTGGCTGGCAGCGGGTGGGGGGCGGGGTGTGACTCTGCACATCTCTGGAAGGGCTGCCCGCTCTCCTGATTCTCAGGGCCTGGGCTGAGAGAGCCTGCCCGGGTGACTCCGTTAGGCTGCTGGGGAAGGAGGAAGTTCAGGAGAGGAGAGGAGGGAGCTCGGTGTCGCCCATGGAGGGGCGAGGCGGTCACTGGGCTGGCAGGGGCAGAGGTGAGCGGTGTGCGCTGGTCGGGCACTGGCACAAGGCGGTGGTGTCAGCGCTCTCTGCACCTGGAGCAGACGCTGCGGGAGGGGCCGCACTGGGAGGAGGAGCCCCTGGGCCTGACCTGGGAGGGGAGGGGGCTGGGGGAGGCGGAGAGGGTGAGTCTGGGAGGAGGAACAGGCAGCAGCTCTTCTGAGGGGTTTTGCTGCAAAAGAGCTGAGAGGGGAAGTGGGATAAAGAGACAAAACAGTTGTTTACAATTAAAAAAAAAATACATGACATTGCAGAGGAGAGAGAAGGGGTGGGGGGGCCCTGGCGCAGCACCAGACCGTCCTGGAGGGCGGGGGAGGGGGCAGGGCCCCTTGGTGGGCTGAGGGGGCCTCCCACGGCACGTGCAGGGAACCTGTGCAATCCCCGTTGTCACACCCTGTGTTCCCTGAGGACGCCCCTCGAATGGCCCTCCTTCAGGGACACCAACAAGGTTTTGGCTGGGGTGGGACCAAAGCCGGGGCGGGCTCCCTGCGGGTCCCTGTTCCGCCAGCCCCGCCAGGGGGCCCCGGGCACCTGCCCATGGTTTCAGACCTTGGCTGGCAGGAGGCGCCTGGACCCCACAGCACCGCGGTCCCCAACCCCTGGGCCATGGCCCAGACTGGTTCCGGTGCTGTGGCCTGTTAGGAGCCAGGCCGCAGGGCGGGAGGGGAGCAGAGCTTCATCTGTACTTGCAGCCGCTCCGTCCCTGCATCCCCGAGTAAGCTCTGCCTCCTGCCAGAGCAGCCTGGCTGAGATTCTCCCGGGAGCGCGAGCCCTGCTGCGAGCCCTGCTGCAAACCGCCCACACGGGGGATCTAGGCTGTGGCTCCTTGCGAGAGTCTACTGCCGTGTGGTCTGGCGTGGAGCGGAGGGGCGGTGCCAGCGCTGGGGACCGGCTGCACACACAGATTGCCATCAGCAGAGAGGTTTGACCGCGCAATAAATGTCATGTGCCTGAGCCTTCCCGAAACCACCACCCACCACCCATGGTAAAACTGTCTTCCGTGACACCGGTCCCTGGTGCCAAGCAGCCTGGGGACGGCTGCCACAGCAGGCTCGGTTCGCAGGCAGGCACCTCTCTGGGGCCGGTCCCGGCTGACTCCGGCTTGGTGGGCCGGCCCTGGAGTCACAGCCTTGTGAAGGCCCCAAGCCTGCTGTGGGCACCGGGGCCTGGCCCAGGCGTCAGCGGCCTCTCAGAGGTGGCCGGGCTGAGGGTCTGGGAGGCAGCTCCTAAGGCTCCTCACCCCTGACCGGTGTCCTTGGGCCCCGGGAACAGCCCCAGCCCCAGCCCAAGGGAGTGGCCTGTCAGGCAGCCCTGGAGGCCCGGTGGTGCCCACGCTGCCTCTGACCTGCTGGGCACTGGTCCTTCGCTTCCCAGGTGCCCCACGAGGGGCTGGGCTGGGCCGGCACGTGCTCAGGAGCCTTCTGGAACTGGAGTCTGTGAATATGCTCCTTGGAGTTCGGGCAGGGGCAGGGGGAGCAGGGGCTGGGCCTTGTCCAGGGCCGGTTCTGCAGGCGGCAGGCATGTGGAACTGAGGTCTTTGGGCCACGGCAGGGCCGTGCCCCGGAGGGTGCTCTGCTGGCCAACGGGGCCTTCTCCAGTGGCTCCTAGTGACTCAGGGACCTGGCCAGCTCCAGATGCCAGCGTCCCAGCGTAGGGCCCACGGCTGCTGTGGGCCTGGGGCAGAGCTCTGGGGTCCTGGGACGGGCGAGTTCCCACCCCTCGCCCAGGGGGCTGCACTGTGGGCCTGGACGCCGGGGCTTCACATGGGGGACGCGGTTCACAGACTGCAGGGGCTCCCGATGGTCGATGGCTACCACCAAGAGGGGTACAGGCCTTGGTGGGAGGCATGGCTGAAAGCTGCCTGGAGGAGGTGTCCACCGTGTGAGGCCGGACAGCTGGAGGCCTCTGGGGCTCTGGAGAGAGCTTGGGGGGGAGGTACGAGGGAGCCCGGGTCCCCTTCCTCATGCCACGGGCCCAGGACTGAGGGGTTTCGGGACGAGGGGTTCCCATGCTAAAATGGGGACATTCCTGGGGAAACCTGCTGCCCTGCCCTCACCGGTCCCTGCAGGCCAGACTGTCCCCGGGCCTTGACCTGGAGGGAGGAGGGGAAGTCTTCCCTGCCAGCCCATGTCCCTGGGCTCAGAGTGAGCAGCCAGTTTCATTGCAAGACAGCTGCTGGGGTTGTTGGTGCCGGGGTCTGTGACCGGCCCACCCCCTGGGTTGGAGGAGAGACTGATGCAGGTGAGGGGTGTGTGGGCATCCTCGACAGGGCCTCTGTGCCGGGCCTCCACGCTCCATCAGGAGCCTGACAGATGAGACAGCAGAGGCACAGAGAGGTTAAGCAACTCACCCAAGGACACACAGCCAGTAAGAGGCAGTCACTCTGCCTGACTCTGAGGCCTGTGGTTTGCCCCCCACCCCCAGGCTGGGCAGTGCCTGGCCCTGCTACACAGCATCTGGACGCCTTCCAGGTGAAGACAGCTCCTGGGCGGCAGCCCCAGGCCCTGCATGCCGGCCCCTCCCCCAGAACGGCCTGTGGTTCCTGACCCCGGCCCCGAAATGGGAGTCATGACGACGGCTCTGGTCACCGTGGGGCGCAGCCAGAGCGCGGCTGTGCTCCACGACTGAAGGTGTTCGAGTGTGTGTCCACACGGGGTCACCCAGCCCTGCGGGCGGCGCGGGCCCGCCCCGCGGAGGAGCGGGGAGCAAAGGCAGAGGGCGCTGGGAGGCTGCGGGAAGACGGGCAGGAAGAGGAAGAGGAGGGGCTGGGGCTTAGGAGGAAGGGAGGGAGGAAGGAGAGGAGGAGGGGCTGCAAGGAGCAGGCGGCCGCCCACCCCGGGTCTTTAGGGCAGGCTCTGTCCCTCCTTCCGCCCCTGCAGGTGGGAGAGGCCAACGTGCTATTTCCCACTAGGGTGTGAGTGGCAGCGCCCAGAGCACCTAGGGGCTCGGGGTGTTTTTGAAAATGAACTTTTTGGCCTTTCAGGGGCCTGACTGGCCACAGTGGGCAGAACCCCCGTCTCAGGCTTGAGGGGTGTGCAGGTGACAGGGATTAAGGTCCTCACTCACGTCACCTGCAGCTGCGCGGCAGGGGTGAGGTGGGCGGGAGGCAGCAGGGCTGCGGGCTGCTCAGTGTCCCCGCCAGGCGGGATGTGCAGCGCTCCCGGCTGCCATGCCGTTTGCGGACACCAGGGGGCAGCAGGCGCCTGGCTTTGGTCCTCGGGGCCGCCAGCTCGCCCATGGGTCCTGCTGCCCCTGCCGGGGACCAGGGGCCAGGCACCCCGCCTGCCCAGCACCTCCTTGGAGCCGCCCTTGGCCTGCAGGGCGACCCGGAGGAGCGGCCGGGTGGAAGCCTGTCCCCGGGTCCTGGGAGCTGGCCAGGGCGCGGCCAGTGTTAGCGGCTGGCCTCACCTCAGAAGCCCAGCTGGGAGGAGGTGGGACGTGGAGGCAGGACCCCAGCCCAGGGCTCGGCCTGGCCGTCTCCTGCGTGCTGTGGGACTGAGGGCAGGTCGCCCAGCCCCTCTGGGCCTCAGTTTCCTGCACAGGATTGTGACACCGTCACGCCGTGGGTAGTAGGTGCTCAGCCAGTGTCTAAGATAAAGTCTGTCCCCAGGCCAAGGAAGCCCCTTCACCTCTGAGGTCCCAGTGGGCGCAGGCCTGGGGCTGGGGCTTCTGCCTGGAGCCTCCCAACTGCAGGAGGGGTGGCGGGGTGCAGGCACCCCCATTCTGTTCCGGCATTTCGGGGGGCCCTGGGCTTCTCTGAACACTGAGGCATGGGCCGTGTGGAAAGACCTGGGGTCCCTGGTGCAGCCCGTGGGCAGGACACTCCCAGCAGTCCCCGCTGGCCTGACAGGAAGCTGGGGGGCCCGGTGGGGAGGGGGTCTGCGCACACCAGGTTTGTTTTTCTTGCTGTTTCCCTGGTAAAGGGAGCCGCCAGGCCCTGCAGTCCGTGTCCTGCGGGTGGGGAGGAGGGCAGGCCTGGTGGCTCAGAGCCGGCCACAGGGCGTCTGACTCAGGCCCCCAAGTGCCTCCAGGTCCTCCTCCGCACCTGCCCCCAGCCCGGGGGGGGGGGTCCCTGAGAGGGGCCGACTGTAGCCTAGGACGACCAGCGGTCGTGGGTTTCCTGGGACGTTCTGTGTGGAAACCAGCAAGGTCCCAGGCAGGCTGGGGGGAGACGGGCGGTGGGGGCTGGCCGGGGGCCGCGCTGTGTTCTCCGTTGCCACCGGCCCGCCCCGCAGGGCCTGCCCAGCCCCTCCCACCCATTCCTGGGGAGTGCGGACCCCCGGCCCGGGACCCCAAGCACAAGGCAGTCCCTGTAATCGGAGCCCGTGCTGCGTGTGGCCGCGTCACAGGAGGGAGGCCGGCACCTGCGGAGGACGAGGACGTGCCTGGCAGCCGCCCGGGAACAGCCCGTCCTGGGGGCGGGGCGAGCCCTGGAACTGGTGCGGCAGGAGCGGGCCTGCGCCAGGCCTGGGCCCCAGCGTGCGCGGCTGCCTGCTGCTGGGGTTGGCCTGTTAATCTGTAACTCCCGGTCCCCCTGGGCCCCCGGTCAGACCCCCACCCCACTTTATGGAGGAGAAGGTGGACGCTTGGGGACAGAGCTGGGCAAGGCCCTGCCCAGGGCTGGTCCGAGTGCACCCCTGGTCAGGTCCGGAGCCCGCACAGATGCACACCCCTGGCTCCACCAGGGCTTGGGGGGATGTCCGGGGAGGCATGCTGGGGCCCCCCCTTCTTCCTGCTCCTGCTTTCATGTCCTTGTCCTCTCAGAGTCTGTGGAGAGGCCGAGCCTCAAGTCTTGGGGGTCTCAGGCTCAGTAAAATGGGCAGAAAATCAACTCCCTGTGAGCCCAGCCCTGGGGCAAGGCAGGGAACAAGATGGGGACAGCTAGCGTCGCCATTGTTTGTCACATCCCTCCTGGGTACCAGTTGGGGAGGCCCCTGGAGGGGGACAGACACAGTCACCCCTAGCAGGGACCCGAGGAGCACCGCGGGAGGTCACGTGGCCGGCCTCAGGCCACGGTGCCGGGCGTGGCCTGGGCACTCAGGTGCCCCAGGGGGCTCCGGAAGCAGCTGCATGTGGCACGCGGCCCCCTTCCCCCTCCACCCTGACCTGGGGCCGGCATTCCCCAGCCTTCTGTGATTGATGGGTGACATGTGGCCCATGGCTCAATGGAAAATTCTTCCAGGCCTTAATATATGTGAAAAGACAGCTCAGGGCCCCAGAACCCCGGGGACTGGCAGGAGGCAGGTTTGACCGAGGGCCAGAGGGGAGCAAGGAGCCCCAGGCCCATCTGGGGTCCCCCCCTGGGAAGGGCCATTGGCTCAGCCTTGTCCCTGCCCCAGGCCAGGCGCCCCAAGTCCCAGACTGTGTTCCCAGGGGCTCTCGGTCAAGAGGTGGGCCTGACCCAGGACAGCCATCCTTGTCTCCAAGAAACCACCCATGGCACATGTTCCCAACGGGGTCTGTGACCCTGCCAGAGAAGCCGCTGTGCAGGCCCCACATCCAGGAGGAGGGGGCTTGGTGGGGGCAGGTGAGGCACCAGAGGGGAGGCCAGCTACTAGGAGGCAGCACGTGGCCAAGGGCAGGACTTCCTGGACCTACTCCGGCTCTTGCTGCTCACTGGCCAGCGGGTTTGCCTGAAAGCCTCAGTCTCCTCACCTGTAAAATGGGCCCGCGACGCCGACTGCCCAACCGTGGGGGGCACCGTGAGGACTGTCTGGTGGGGAACTGAGCTGCTTTAACTACCCAGCCTCCCCCCAGGAGCTCAGCCCTGAGAAGGCTGCGGCTGAATCTGCTCTTGCTTCTGGGTGTGTTCCCAGCCTTAGAGCAGAGTTAGGCCCCGGGTTGTGCTCCTGGCATGGGAGCGCAGTGGTTAGGCCTGGGGACTGGGCTGAGGAGTCAGACTATTCGGGGGAATCCTGCCTTGAGCACTTGTGAGCAGGAGCGAGTTTTTAATCTTCCCAACCCTCTGTTTCCTCATCTGTAAAATGCCAACTGAAATCCACCCATGCCAGCCATATATGTTAGAGTATGTAATGCTGGCCACTGTAACAGACAACCACACGTCTTTGGCGGGTTAAGATGCAATAAAGTTTCCCTTCCGTAGTCCCAACACAGGCAGCGTGGGCGTGCAGAGGGTGCTGGTGGGGCTGGCGGTCCCTCCGCGTGGTCACTGGGCGTCCTGCGGCCCTGTCCCATCCTCCATCTGGCCAACAGAGGGCGCAGAAGGACCGCCGTCGGCCTGGGCCCGCGGGAAGTTGTGTGCACGGCCCGTGCGCGGCTGACAACCTTCCCGGCCAAAACTAGTCCTAAGGCCACCTGAATGCAAAGGGGCTGGGACGTGCGGCCTTTCTGGGTGCTCGAGGGAGCGGAGGCTGGGTGGACACCCGGCCTTCCTCTGTGGCTTCACGGGAGGGGGCAGGGCTGACGGGAGACAGACGGGACATAGACATGCACAGGGCTCAGCAGGGCCCAGGCAGGAGGGCCCCCGCCCCCTGCATGCAGGATTCGGGCACTAGAGAAGCCCAGGGAGCCCGTCGTGGTGGCTGAGCACAGCCCACCCTGGGTGGTGGGACCCGCACCCCCTCCCCAGTTACAACGCAGAGTACAGATACTGTTCCCTTTGTTTCCTTTGGATATATTTTTAATTACAAAATTAGAGCTCGGCTCTTGTCCCCGAGACAGATGTTTGCTTGCTCCCAGGTCCCTTGGGAAGGAGGACGGGGCTCCTTCCTCCTCCCAGTGCCTGGGCCTCGGGCTCCCAGGCCCCAGCTCGGGGGTGCCTTCCTCCAGGTGTGTTCCTGGCTCTGGGTAGGGGCCTCGGCCCCGCTCCTGGGACCAGCAGGTTTAATCAGCTACTTGGTACCATCCTGGTTTGCGTTCGGAGCCACAGACTTCCAGAAAGTCACCTCCCAGGCTCTAATGAGGCCAAGAGAGGGGGAGTCCCCGGGGCACCAGCTTTGACTCCGTAATTACGCTGCTGGCCAAGTGGAAAGATGGAAGTAGGGAGCCCGAGTGGAAACCTGACCAGAAAGGAACTCAGGAGTGTCCCAGCCGCTTCCTGGCTGACCTGGAAGTCTTGTTGTTTCCCTTGTAAAACAGGGTGAGTCGCTCCACCTACTCGGCCAAACGAGGGGGTGCACAGAAACCACCCCCAGGCTCCTGGCACTGGCTGAGCGCTGCAGTGAGCACCTCAGCTGGTTGGCCTTCCCGGGTGGCTGGAACCTGGGCATCCTGCCCTTTTGGGAGATCCCGGGCTATGGAGTCACTACCCCCTGTGATCAGGGTCCCCTGGGGAGGCCGTGAGTGGCACTGGGCCAGACAAGACCTTAAGACCCTGCCTCCTTCTGCACCCCCCGACCCCCGCCAGTTCATACCAGCCCTGCTAGAGGGGTTCACGGTGCCTGGGGAGCCTCCTTCAGCTTCTCTTTATTTTCCTGAAGATAAAAGTTGTGACACTGGTGCTTGTTGTGGGCTGTTTGGAATGTAGCATACAGAGAGAAATAAAGAAATCCACAGTAAATCGTTGCCTCTGGCCCCACCAAAAGAGCAGCCCTCACCTGGGTTGACACCTAGTCCCAAGCAGGTTGCTCCCCTAACTTCAGCCCTCCTTCCCGGGACTCAGAAGACCCCTCCAGGCCCACATCTGCATGTTGTCACGGCATGCCATCACTGGGGTGTCCCGGAACCCACCAGACCTGGAGGGGGAGGCAGCCTGGGGAGTGGAGGCCGCACTCTGCCTCCCTTCTCAGAGGCTGCTCTCCTGGCTTGAGGCTTAGGCTTGCGGGCGACAGGGGCTGAGAGCTGAGCGCAGCTGAGTGCTGGACTCTCCCAGCAGGTGTCTGGCGGCCCCCTCCCCCTGGGCTGCTCCAGGCTGGAGGAGGGGGCTCCAGGCATTTCCTGGGCTCCCCGCCTCAAGAAAGGCTGGGACAAGAGGGAGGCAGCAGAAAATAAAGGCCTCTCTTGGTCTGGCCCCGCTGGGATAAGAGCTAGGGTGTGTGTGTATGTGTGTGTGAGTGTGTGAAAGAGACAGACCAGGATCCGGACTGAGAGGGGCTGCAGGTGGGGGAGGGGCACGGTCCTTCCCTGTGACCTCAGGCAGGTCCCTCCCTTTATCCAGCACAACAGCCTCCGGCCAGCCGGGCAGGCAGTTCTAGGGCCCGGAGCGGCCTAGCACAAGGCTGAGGCGGGTGGGCACCCGGTCAGCGAGGTGACAGGCACAGCCCAGGATGGGCCTGGCGTGTTTCCCATCTACTGTGCAGGGTGGGGCCCCGAAGCGCGCGACTCCAGACTCGGACTCCGGGGGTGGGGGTGCTTGGGGGGCTGACGGCAGGCTCTCCAAGGTGTCCCCACGTCGCCCCTCGGGGGAAGAGTGGCGCTGACCCGTGCCCCCTCTCGACGCCAGGGCCTTAGGGCTGGCAGGTGTGTTAGGGCTCCAGGTGCGCGGACCCCTCGCAGGGGCACGAGCCCGGGGCAGCAGGCCTCGCGGGGGCAGCCGGAGACCCTGTCCCGCTCCCACCAGGCGGGCTGGCAGCGGCGGGTTAAAGCCCCGTCAGCTGGCGCAGGAGGCCCAGCGGCGAGCGCGGGCGGCGGGGCTGCGCCGGGGCCGGGCCGGGCCGGGGGCGCGCTGAGCTGGCTGCTTGCCGGCCCCGCCGCGCCGGGCAGAGGGGGCGCCCGCGCTGCCCCGCCTGCAGACAAAGGAGCCGGCGGGGGGCGGGAGCGGGGGGGGATGGGGCGAGGGGGCGGGGCGTCGCGGTGTCACGTTACCGCCCGCAGCGCCCTTTAACTCGCGCCCCGCCCCGCTCGCCGCCCCTTCCCCGCTACAGCGCGCCGGCGCGCGCCCGCCAATCAGCGGCCGCGCCCGCCCGCCCCGTGGGTTGTGCGCGCGGCCAATGGGCGGTGCGCGGGGGGCCGGCGGCCGGGCGGGCGGGGGCAGCGCGGCGCCGGCCAATCGGCCGCCGTGTTGTTGAAACTGAAAATACTACATTATGCTAATCGCGGCGGGGCTCGCGCGCGCGGGGGAGGTGGGTCCTGCGTATAAAGGGGGCGCGGGCGGCTGGGCGTTCCACAGGCCAAGTGCGCTGTGCTCGAGGGGTGCCGGCTGGGCCAGAGGGAGCGAGCGAGCAGGCAGGCACCGAGGGGGCGCGGCTGCCGGCTGGAGAGACGGGCGAACCGGACGCAGGAGCAGACCAGGACCAGACAGCCAGGTAGCCGCCGTGCCCGCCCTCCCGCCGCGTCCCTTTGCGAACGCGGAGTCTGGTTGCGCGGGGTCTCCCCTGCTCCGGCCTCCGCCCTCCTCCTCTCCTCTCTCTCTCTCGCTCCCTCTCCTCTCTCGCCGCCTGGCGTGGCTTCGCGCAGCCCCAGCCACGTCCGACGCGTACCTCCACAGCACATCCACGATGGAGCGCCTTGTCGCCCGTGGGACCTTCCCTACCCTTGCGCGCACCAGCGCCTGCCGCAGCCTCTTCGGGCCGGTGGACCACGAGGAGTTGAGCCGGGAGCTGCAGACCCGCCTGGCCGAGCTGAACGCCGAGGACCGGAACCGCTGGGACTACGACTTCCAGCAGGACATGCCGCTGCGGGGCCCTGGACGCCTGCAGTGGACCGAGGTGGACAGCGAGTCCGTGCCTGCATTCTACCGCGAGACGGTGCAGGTGGGGCGCTGCCGCCTGATGCTGACGTCCCGACCCGTCGCGGTCGCCGTGGCTGTCAGCCCGCGCCCTGAGTCTCCGGGCGCTGAGTCCCTCGACGGCCTCGAGGAGGCGCCGGAGCAGTCCCCTAGCGACCCGGCCCCCGCGCCCACCCCGCCCCCGGCCCCGGCCCCGGCCCCGGCCTCGGGCTCTGCCCAGGCCCCGGACCCGGCCCCAGATGCCGCGGCTCAAGACGGCGCCGAGCCGGGCGCGAACCAGGCGCCGCGCAGCCAGGAGCCTCTTGCTGACCAGCTGCTCTCGGGACGTCCCGCGGCCGGCACCGCTGCCGCCAGCGCCAGCGCCAACGGCGCCGCGATCAAGAAGCTGTCCGGGCCTCTCATCTCCGGTGAGCCCCGCGCGGCCCCGCCCCGCCCCGGCCCGGCCCCGCTTTGTCCGGCCGGCCGGTCTCCCCGGCCCTCGGGGGCCTCGCTCGGTTCCCGCCTCCTCCCGTGGCATTAAAGGGCCCGCAGCGCTCAGGGCGCGGCTGCGCCCGCGCCCGCCCCCTCGCCCCGCTGTTGTGCTCCCGGGCGGCTCCCGCGGGAGGGAGGGGAGGAGGGGTCCCGGCCGCGACCCCCTCGGGGCGCGGTCTTCGCCCCCGGCCGCGGGAGACCCTCTGCGGGCGCGGCCGGGTGCGGAGAGCGCGGCGCGGAGGGGGTTAAGCGCAGCCGCGGCCCCGGGGGGCTTGGCCGCGGGACAAGGGGAAATGCTTACACAGCACATTGCGCGGCGACGTAAACAAAGCTGACCCGCCGCGGACCTCGGCGCGGGCGGGGCCGGCGCCCCCACCCCGGCCGGCCCGCGCCCCGCGCCCCGCGCCCTCCCCCGGCCCCTCTGGGGTCTCCCGGCCGGCCCCGCCCTGACCGGCGCGCGCGCTGTCGCCCGCAGATTTCTTCGCCAAGCGCAAGAGATCTGCGGCCGAGGGCAAGTCCTCGGGCGAGGTCCCCGGGGGGTGTCCCTCTCCTAGCGGCGCCACTGGGGTGGGCGCGGCGGAGCAGACCCCGCGCAAGCGGCTGCGGTGAGCTAGGTGAGTACGCCGCACCTGGGCGGAGGGGCGGCCCGCGGGGTCCCCGCCGTCCTTACTCACCAAGCCCTCTCCCCACAGTTTAGAGCCCAAAGAGCCCCGAGGGAACCTGTCGGGGCAGCGGACGGTGGAAGAGCGCTGGGCCTCGGCTGGGAACGTTCATGTAGCAGCAACCGGCGGCAGCTGCCGCAGAGCAGCGTTCGGTTTTGTGTTTAAAGTTTGAAAACTGTGCAATGTATTAATAACGTCTTTTTATATCTAAATGTATTCTGCACGAAGAGTACACTGGTCCCAAGGTGTAAAGCTTTAAGAGTCATTTATATAAAATGTTTAATCTCTGCTGAAACTCAGTGCAAAAAAAAAAAAGAAAAAGCAAAAAAAAAGTGAAAAAATAAAAAAACCATGTATATTTGTACAAAAAGTTTTTAAAGTTATACTAACTTATATTTTCTATTTATGTCCCGGGCGTGGAACGCTCTGCCACGCAATAGCTCGGTTATTGGTTATGCCAAAGGCACTATCTTTCCCCCATGTCATCCCGTCATTGACAAATGTAAATTTATTTTTATAGCGGACTCTAGGGGAAGGGGTCGCTCACAAGCTGTAGCTGCCAAACACGCCCATCTAGCTTGCAGTCTCTTCGCGCTTTTGCTGTCTCTTTTTACTATTATTGTGTTTATTTTAAACTTGAAGACAAATCTGTTAAAATGGTTCCTGAGCCGTCTGTACCACTGCCCCGGCCCCTCGTCCGCCGGGTTCTAAATAAAGAGGCCGAAAAATGCTGCACACCCCCCGTCTGTTTGTGCTTGTACACGCCTCAGGCTCCTTTGCGCTGTACCCCAAAAGCTGGGTTGCTAGGACACAGGGCAGAGCGGCTAAAAGCAGCAGCTTGGCAGAGGCAGCCCCCGTCCGCTTTCTATGAGACCCATCCAGGAGGGAGGGGGGCTTCTCCTGGCCTGCCTGGCCAGGACCACCTGCTCCAGGCCCCTCATCTAGTGAGGGGTGGCCCGCCCCACCTACATGTGTCACCCCCATTTTCTGGGCTTCCTGAGGTCCCCAACCTGGTCTTGTCAAAGAAACCACACACATCCTGGCCACCTCTGGGATTGGAAGGTTGAGGATGCACATTGGGGGGAATATGGGGGGAACATGGGGGGAGGGTGGGGAGCGGAGCTCCAGGGATACCTGGGGGGGGCTTGACCAAGGCAGCCCCAGCCCTGCCGACTCCTTCAGGCCCTGCATAAGGTGCAGCCCCAACCGCTCCAGGTGGGCAGCATCGTGGGCCTCTAGACCGCAGTGTTCAAGGCCTAGTTGCACCCGCAGTGGGGGAGGGGCAACCTCAAGACCCATGGGGGAGGGGGAGGGGAGGTGCCCCAGGACCAGGCGGGGGTGGGGAGCGTTGGGCTCTGACACGAGGCTCAAGGCTCCATGGAGGAATCAGAGGCTGCACACAGCCCCGCACACTTGCCCTGTCCCCACACCAGTCCCCTGGTTTCAAAGTGCTCCCTTTTAGTAAAAAAGGAGAGGTTTATTTATTTATTTTTATATAGCTGACCTATAAACCTCTGCAAATTACGGCTTACAATGGAAAGGGTGATGCAAAATAGCAAAAACAGAACGGCTAGCAGCATTTCTGCTGGTGCCTTGGGCCTGGAGAAGAGAAGAGCTGGTGGACCCTCAAGGGGCTGTCCGTGACCGTCACTCGCAGGGACAAAGCAGGGCTCCAGACGAGATTTTCAAGATGTGTTTAGACACATAATTAACTGACCTTCTCCCGACCGCCTGAAAGGACAGGGAGAGGAGAGAGCCAGGCCTGGCCCCAAGGCCCCGCTGCCACCGGCCGCCACCGCGGTCCTCTCCTGTTGGTAACCGGGGAATTAGACCTTCAGGGCCTGATGTCAGACTGCAGACCTCCCCTCTCGGGGGGCACTGCCCGCGCCTCTGGGACCAGGACAAAGCCCTTCCCTCCCTGAGGTGGAGGAGGGCGGGCGCCTTCTGCCGTGGGCAGGGAGATGTGAGCCAGGTCTGGGCTGGGCTGGGGGCCTGGCCGGTGGGCACGCAGGGTGACCGAGTCCGACTGGCGTGGGGCCTCCCCCAACAGACTCACCTGCAGCAAAGGCCTCTCCTGCGGGGGTGGGGGCCCTTGGCTTTGTTTCTCACAGCCCTGGTCTCTGGGCACGGGGACCTGGAGGGTACAGCTCTGACAATAACAACCACAGTGACAGCCACAGCCACCAAGCATGGGGCCTGTGGCTTTTCTCAGTGCCAGGCGTGTGCTGAGCAGGATTCGTCTTCGGTGAGATCCTACCAGCAGCGAGGTGCCACCACGTTGCCCATTTGTCTGAGGAGGACACAGTGGGACCCGCCTGAGGTTGCGCCGCTGACCTTGGCCGGGCCAGGGGTTTGGACCAGCGGGCTCTGAGGCCCGGCCGGGAAACCACTGCACGATCCCTGCCCCGACCAACAAAGCAGTGACAGGCGGGGTGCTGCAGGGCAGTGGGGGTGGGGGGCTGGGGAAGCCACCGAGCAGCCAGGCAGGCTCCTGGGGAGGAAGGGTGAGTGTGCCGGAGCCAGGGGTCAGGCTGAGGCAGGGGAGGTGAGGTCACGGGGTGGGGAGCTGCTGGGGTCTGCCCTGGTGCCAGGGGCCTGGGCCGGCCCGGCCCGCACGCCAGGCCAGCATGCACGCTTATGCATTATTCCATGGCGGAGTGCTGTTTGGGGTGTGCCTGCCTGGCCTCCCCCTTCCCTGTCCTGTCCTCCTGGCCCTGATGGGCTGCGGTCAGAGGTTGCCTGTTGCCTGCAGGCAGTGGGGCGCCCTGGAGGGACTGGAGTGGGGGATGACGGAGCCTCTGGAGGCTGCTGGATGGAGAGGAAGGGCCGAGGGGCCAGGAGGATGGGACGGTCCCGGCAGGGGTGCTGGGTTTGGCACATATTCCAAGAGCCACCAGCATGCCAGGCCTCGCTCAGCCACCAGAGACTCTGCAGTGAATAGACTCCTGATTTCTCTGTCTGGGAGGTGACATAATTATACCTGGTAAGTGAGGTACGGCACACACGCGGGTGGTGTTGGGGGTAAACAGGCCAGGAAGCCCCTCCTCCCACTCGCAGCGGGACGCGCGGACAGACTGGGTCTGGCAGCGGGAACAGCCAGTGCAAAGGCCCTGAGGCCGGGGCATCCATGGGGCAGTAAGCCGGGGGGCTGGAGGCGGGGTTCGGGGAGCTGTGAGATGTATTTAGTGGGTGGTCGGACTGGGGCCTGAGGCTGGATCGAGGGGAGCACAAGAAGCAGGGCCCAGGAGGCCTCTGAGGGCTGGCGTGAAGAGGCCACTCTCAGAGCCGAGGGAGTCTGCCCAGAGCAGGAGAGCAAAGTGTTGACTCCCTTCTTCTGGACGGACACTGCCATTCAGGCCAGCCCTGCCCTCCAGACGTGTGTTAACTCTCTCGACAGCCCGGCCAACGAGGCGTCAGCGCCCATGTGGCAGGGCCCAGAGAGGCAAAGCCCCTGGCCCAGGGTCACTCCCTGGTAAAGTGCCGGCCCAGGCCTAGCCCAGCGCCCAGCCTTCAGTCCCAGCTGGTGTCCCCAGGGTGTCTTTTTTTGCTGAGACAGAGTCTCACTCTGTTGCCCAGGCTAGAGTGAGTGCCGTGGCGTCAGCCTTGCTCACAGCAACCTCAAACTCCTGGGCTCAAGCGATCCTCCTGCCTCAGCCTCCCGAGTAGCTGGGACTACAGGCGTGCGCCACCATGCCTGGCTC